CCTCCTCCTCCTCTTCCTCCTTCTCTTCCTCTTCCTGAATTGTTTATGTTCTCTCTCTCTCTCTCCCTCCCTTGGCTTTTCCCAGTAACCAGCTCCCCAAACTAGTCTTCTCCCTTACCGTAACTTCAATTTACATTATCTAATCATGGGTAATGGACCAAGCACCGAGTTCCCCCTTGTATCCAATCTCTCTCTCTCACACACATTAATGGGTTCCAAAGTAATAGGTTTTAAATAGGAAATTTATAACAAGATAAGTGTATCTCTCGACCCTCCCTCCTGTCTAGTGGGTGAATACTTGTAGGGGTGTTGCCCAGTAGGAAAGATTAGGGAATTTTATGTCCTTAGGGGGAGTTTAGGGGCATATTTAGACCAATGGGAGATTTTAGGGGGAGATTTTGACCAAAGGGAGAGCTTAGGGAGATATTTGGACCAATGGGAGAGTTTATGGGGACATTTTATTTTAATCAATGGGAGAGTTTAGGGAGTAATTTTATCCAATGAAAAAGATTGCTATGGAGTTTTGTCCAGAATGGGAAGTATTTTACCAAAATTTTGTTTTATTTTGTTGTTTTTTATAAATACTTTTGTTATTTTAATTAAGGTAATGTAGCTTCGGAGATTTTAGTTCCATAACGGTCACTCAATTATTTATTACAGGATACAATTAGGTGTCTCAACGATTTGTATTTTGTTTTTGTTTTTTATAATCCTGGTGGTACATCTGGAAGCTTTTGTGTGGTTTTGTATGTATATATGAGTTTTTAGTTTATGGAGGACTATATTATGTCTTTGTGCCTTCTGAAACTTTTTTTTTATTATATTATTTTATATTATCTCAGTATTATCCTTCATATAATATTAAAGAGTTGTAGAATAAAGATGACAACTTCTGTAGAGTAGTGTCCCATATCATGTTACCATTTTTTATAGTATTACTTTAAAAGAAAATTATAATGGATAACTAAACTAATATTCACTGTTTCTAGCTTCAAATTACTAACATATCCTATTGTCCACAGTTTATCTTACATTTTTATATTGAACAGTATCATCATTTCTAATTAACTGCAGAATTATTCCGCATAAACCCATACCATTATACAGTATATTTAATTTTTTCAAACTTAATTTTTCTAGATCAGTTTTTCATGATGAATAATGTGGTGATAAACTGGTAATGAAAGTTTAGAGTAATGCTTAATTATTGAGCTATGACTCTTACTACCATGCCAATATTGACCTATTTAAAGCAGACACTCGCATACTATTGATGTTCATAATAATAATAATAATAATAATAATAATCTCCCTCGAGGTGCCGGCAGGAGGGTCAGTCACCGAGCGGTACGTATTGCTATAGGAGGAAATAGGATAACAGTAACCGGAAGTGACTGGCCATGTTCAGTAGCGTGAGGAAAGACAACACACGCCACCTCTAACACCTCTAACACCTCTAACACCTTTAACACCTATATATTACACCTTTAACACCCATAACACCTATATATTACACCTTTAACACCTTTAACACCTATAACACCCAAAACAATGATACATAATGTTATCCAAAATGAGAAAAATGACGATGAGAAAGAAAATCTATTACTCGTTTTTTTTTTCGTTTTTTTATTATGTTTAAAGTAACGACGTCACCGGTGATACTTTGCAGGTGAATGAACTTGAGGTTAAAGTCCGGGTTTGGATGAGATTAAAGTTCGCATTTACTGTATACGGTGGAGGTTATACATTACGAGGTCGTTTATTGAGAGGATTTCAAAGTTGACGTTTAATGAAAAAGAAATATTAACAGAGAAATGAATAACTGTAATATGTTTGGATACATTTTAGGATGACCTGATGAATCTCCACCCCAGCCCTCTCTACCTGATGAATCTCCACCCCAGCCCTCTCTACCTGATGAATCTCCACCCCAGCCCTCTCTACCTTATGCTGCCAGATCTGGGGTCACTAAATCTAAGGGGATAACTTAACTCTAATCTTAATTTCTAAGGGTCGCTGCCACCAGACCCCCTCTGGACAGCATGTAGCTCGTTAGGTAGCGGGCAGAGTGAACTAGGCATTGGGTTAGGTTTTCCATTGATCAGATCGATAAGGGTAAAGAAGGGTGGAACCATAACATGTCTTCATTGATTTATTTCTTATAAAACACACTGGTAAAAAAACATACATGAACTGGCCTTCCTCAGAAGAACAACGGAATTTTGGTTACCCAGCTGGGCCCCAGACTCCTACATTACTGGCGGGTCATCCACCCACTTATGGCACAACAATCGGTGAACGCCGTATCTCGGTCGTTCCTTCTTACAATATCCCTTAACACATCAGACTGTTCCACTGGTGTGGCTTGTAGCACCGTCGGTTATCATACATAGTAGCACCATCGCAACACACCTGTTACACTCCATACCTGCAAGTATGTGACTCCTTGTGACTTTTAGGTCTACACCACGGGCCCCTCGTTCGCACACCGCCCTCGGTGGGTAAGGACGAGGGCTTGACCTAGAGACATACCAGCACTATTTCTACGCCTGGTATTATAGGTCGCTCCAAGTGACGACCGCAGTTTCTCACGGTCTCCTTAGTTGTGACTAATCATGTGGAGTGGTGCGCTGGGAATCCACCGGTTCATAGTGGACTGGTATAGTGGGGAGTAATTCCCCACCTGGTGTGGCGCTCCAGGAGACAATGGCGGCTGGGCGGCAAGATACCCCAACCACGTGGCACCTGTGTTGACGGCAGAACGGGAAAGACTAAGCAATAATGCCTGACGGGCGGTTATCCCATCCCTTAACACATCCCTATCACACTTATATATCCGGCAAAGCTTTAAACTGTAGTCACTGTTATTTATCAACCTTAATTGTAGGGCGGGATATAGCCCGCTAGGACACTGACCTGTGTTGACGGCAGAACGGGAAAGACTAAGGCCGGCTTCCCGCCGCTTCTCGTCACATAGGCCTACAGTTTCCAATCCTCAATTTACATTTTTGTTTCTTATGGTTCTCCCCTGAACACTTTACGGTATATTGTCACTCATTTCTTATAAACACATATATTAATCCTAACTTATACACTAAGGTCAGGTCTTGGTTTGCTAGTGCTTGGTTAAATGCCTGGGATTTTAATATCAACGGGCATCTGAGGCGGGTACATGACGCGCCTTGAAACAAAAGCCGAATGATCATGGCGGGGGTGTATCAACTTCACTTAAAAACTGTAATGAGGGATCCTCCTCTCACACAGCGCACTATTTGAACACAGACCTCAGATTCTCTGATCACTGTACCTGTCGTGGGTATATGTCACGTGAGGCTACGATGTATTAAATTCATACCGACGCATACACGATATTTCCTTTCCAGTATAGTTTCTAGATCACTGTCAACACCTCACATAGTTCTGATACATTTATCCCTTTTTCCCGATCATTGTTCTCATGTATTTTCATATGATATCTGTTGGAGTTAGGTTCGCTACACGCTCACAGACGTAAATAGTAGGACCTTCAAACCCTGCTCCACACTTAGTCTTACAGTACCCTAGTCCGGCTCAACTGGACTTAACATTCATCTTATGCCTACCCTGAGTGATCCTTAATGCTATGAATACATACACTTGATATGATATAACTATACCTGGGTACAATACCACACATGGTCTAGGAACCTTGAGTAGGTGAGTTGTCCTTTCTCAATGTTTCCCGTTTTCTGGGGTTCTACAAGCGCTGTGCATTTGAATGTTATGTAGCGTAATATGAATTAGATGGGATTTTTAGGGATGACAATGATGTGCGCAGTACAACCTGATGAATCTCCACCCCAGCCCTCTCCACCTGAAGAATCTCCACCCCAGCCCTCTCCACCTGAAGAATCTCCACCCCAGGTGAAGAGGGCTGGGGTGGACATTCTTCAGGTGGAGAGGGTTAATGAGATATACATGTAGCCTCGTGTTTCCTAGCTGGATTCGGTAAAATGCTACTCCTACTACACAGTTGGCACGGGCAATACCCCTATGGAGATTCACGTTGCTTAACAAGGACGAATGAACAGGCTTTGTGTGAAATAAAACAAAGCCTAAGATTACTTTTGTTGTCCTTGTGGTGCTGTGGTAGCGATCCCTCTTCACACGTACAGGTCCAGGGTTCGATTCTCTACTAGGAGTTCTGACTGTCACCTAGCACAAAAGAAACGCACTATGATCTCTGAATGTCACCTGAAAGTCTGGTGGCCCACAAGGCATGACAGGCAGCCACCAATGACCACAATATCCTGTTCATCTATCACGCGAGGCTTCAGTGTAAACCGGATCTGCGAGTGTTTGATCAAGTGGGGTGTATAGTTGCCAAATGTGACTATAGAAGGTTGTTTATTGTTAGTACTGTAGCAGTAGTAGTAGTAGTAGTAGTAAAAACTCATTTAATCTAACTTTTCTTTTTAATTTCTTAAGTTTAGGGTTAATCTGAATTATAACTGATGAGAGAGTGAGGGAAGGTGGGGGAGGAGGTTCGGCAAAAACAAATAATATTCTAATTGTCCAGCATGAGGGTTTGTACTGTACTGTTTAGCCCTCAGTGGATCTCTGATGTAAGGTATGCTTGTGAGATCAGCTGTTGTTCTAATTCAAGAAAGACCAAATATTACTGCACTCCCCTTTCCCCCTCCCGCCCTCTCCACTTTCCCCTCTCCCCTCTCTTCCCCCATTCCCCTTCCCCCTCTCCTCGTTCCTGCCCATCTCCCCTCCCGTCCCCTCTCCTCATCTTCTCAAGACCGGATGCAAATACTTACACGCAAGCGCACAAATGTGCACCTGAACTCAACCATACATAAATTCAAATACACATTTATACCCGATCACGCACGCTCTATGTTTACCACACTTGACAACACTCTCAATGACGCTCACCGATCCGTCGCTTGTATGGTGACGGTGCGGCTTACACACAAAGGCGGACATCATCAGCCTCGTTCGTAAGCTCGCAACGCTCTCAGTGTTACACCACCAGGACGGAGCTCACCACCAGGACGGAGCTCACCACCAGGACGGAGCTCACCACCAGGACAGAGCTCACCACCAGGACGGAGTTCGCCAACAACAGTGAGCTGCACCAAGACAGAAGGAAGACGGGAGGCAGACTATCATCAAGGGAAGGGACACACCAGATCAAGACCAGAAGAGAGTAACAAGATGAAACTGAAGGTTAGTTCTGATAGTTATGGCACACAGACACACACACACACAGGCACAACTGTATCCATTATCCAACTGTCTACCTTTAAGCCACGGTTCAAACAGGGGGACCAAATATGGCCTGGAAGTTGCACCGAGACTCTACTGATCCCAAGTGAAAGAAATGTAAATAGTGAAACCTTTTCCAATACATCTATTTACTGAGCCAATTAGACTCGTTTTCTCATATATATATATATATATATATATATATATATATATATATATATATATATATATATATATATATATATATATATATATATATATATATATATTAATATTATTCAAGACAAAATTTAACGTAGAAATATTAGGAGATCCATTTTGTTACCGAGTCTTAGGTAAATGAGGTAGATGCCTTTTCACACCTCCAGTTAATGGTAAAATTTATTTCACGAACCTTGTAGAATCCTTAACCTTGTGTCCACTTAGATAAGTTCACATGTATCCAGGTTTAAGGTGGGATTCTTTAAACACAATATCAGTGAGATAAGTAATGATGTTAATAAATTATACAATGATTATCAACAGCGTTCTTCCTCTATAATGACCAGCTTATACAGTTAGATAAGTAATGATGTTAATAAATTATACAATGATTATCAACAGCGTCTTTCCTCTATAATGACCAGCTTATACACTGCCAGGTATACTGTACAGGTGGGGTAATTCTCACCTGGTTCCTGTCATAAAGGTGTGAGGGGGGGGGGGCCTCAGATGTCACGAGATCTTGCATTCAGTTCTTACTAAACTTAGTTAATGTGAAGTAATCTGAAATGTATTCTAAAATGTTTGTATACTAACTGTGTAATATCATCAGTATGTCGGAGTACAGATGTTAGTCTCATTAAACATATGTAGACTTTCTCTAACTTGTTCTGGTCACATACCGTAACGTTACTGGTGTTTGCCACTTTTTAAAATCCCTCCTGGACTCATCTACTGTATGTTGGCAGGTGTGTGTGTTGCTGTGCGTGGTGGCCGTCATCACCGCCGCTCCGTGGTTGGGATCCCGCAGAAGTTCAGAGTTTAGGTTTAGACCTCCATACCGTCGCTCGAGGTCCATCACCCTAGGATCCATCACTGGTTTGCTGGGTCTGAGCAACAGTCTTCTGGACCTCCTGGAAGGCACCGAACTTGGCGAATTGATACAAAACATCACAGACATTAGTGTGCTTGACGATATTTTCGCTCCGTCGAATTGTGGCAGCGTCAACCTTGGCCGTTTGTCTGTCAACCTGAGGCGCCGTGGCTCTCCCAGGCCGCTCTCCGACCCAAACCTCTTTAAATCTATTTCTTTACGATCCGTATTTGAAGGAGGTACCTTGGCTGACATACTGGAGGACCTCAGGAACGGTTCTATCTTCAGGGACTTGACCATCTTCAGGGGGCTGGAAGATCCGACGCTGGACAGTATACTTGAAAATTCTACACTGTCTGACCTTCTGGGCACCCTTGTCATCCCCGCCCTCAATAACGAATTATTGGATGATATAATCAATGACATCAACCTCCCTTCTGCGCTCGCTAATGTCGAACTACCCACTAACTTGAGGTCCTTAATTCCATTCCTCGGGAGACGTTTACGAGGCATATCGTGGCCCAGCCTCTTTGGGAACCTCGACATTCCGACCAACTTTCTGTCGAATCTCTTCCCTATCCCCCGTCGACGAAAAAGACCCAACTTTACGTTGTTTGGTAGATGGGGCTAAAGACGTGCACCAAACCCTCATCAACCTGCAGGGGCGGGCGAGGGGAAGAGCTTCTGCGTTGTATTTGTCTCTCACCCCAGCCGCTGTACCTTGAGCCCGACCCAGCCACGAGACCCATACAGGACCCAGCCACGAGACCCATACAGGACCCAGCCACGAGACCCATACAGGACCCAGCCACGAGACCCCCCATACAGGACCCAGCCACGAGACCCATACAGGACCCCCAGCCCACCACGAGACCCATATAGGACCCAGCCACGAGACCCATACAGGACCCAGCCACGAGACCCATACAGGACCCAGCCACGAGACCCATACAGGACCCAGCCACGAGACCCATACAGGACCCAGCCACGAGACCCATACAGGACCCAGACCCAGACCCAGAGAGACCCATACAGGACCCAGCCACGAGACCCATATAGGACCCAGCCACGAGACCCATATAGGACCCAGCCACGAGACCCATATAGGACCCAGCCACGAGACCCATATAGATTCAACGAGGACCCAGCCGCAGAACACCTAGAGCATCACCCACACAGCTTTACTCAACCACAGGAACACTACTGCACCTTTTAAACAGTTTCAACGTAACTTCAGGAGCACTTACTGAAACACATCAACGCTTTAGCACTTTTGTTTGTATCACGGCATCAAGTTACAGGAACACTTTAGTTATTAGTATATGTCTTGAAGAACTTATCCACACACACACACACACACACACACACACACACACACACACACACACACACACATTAAATATCTTCCCTTTCAGTAACAAATAAAGTATATTCTTACAGTACCAGGAGTATTATTATCAACCTGTCATGTATCAACAACTTATAACTTATCAACAATTTATTGACAACTTATAATATATTAACAACTTTTTACTTAAAGTTCTCAGATAATTAATTATTTTCTTAATGTTGAGAACCTCTACGGGAAACGTAAGTCAAGGCTAAAATACAGAATTAGTAAAAGTTATTTGTTTTGATTCTTTACCAAACATAAAACGATGATTAACTTAGTAAGTATTTGAATTAAGTTTGAAAATATTGAAGATAATGTGGTAAATATATCTAAGTTAGTGTTTATATAAGTTAAGGTAGAATATTTTATACCTTAGTTTAACAAATTTATTGACAAAGCTTGGAGTACAGTTTGCCTATTCTGAGTAATTCAGTCAGGTCTTGACACTGAGGGTGGTATCACTTTTCACTGCCACGCAGGACAGAGGTTCATACACAAAAGGAATAGATCATATTCATTATCAGTATATATAGGTCAGGTCCATTGGGGTTGATGTCGCTGTTCACTGACATGCAGGACAGAGGTTCGTACACAAGGAAATTCATCGTACTTTATACCGTTTTATTGTTTGAGAAATTTGTCCTTAACAAGCCCCTGGAAGATCTGAAAGAAAACAAAGAACAAATAAACAGTATCAAACAACCGATAGAAAACGTATGGATTAATTAATTATTTCTATGATCAATTGTCAGTTTAATTATAATGAAGAGGAAATTAACCTTGCTTTTTTTGTCGTAATTTATTGTTTACTGTTTCGTTGATGTTGTTCGTTAGAATAATTTTGGCCATTGTTATAAGTACGAGTCTCTCTCTCTCTCTCTCTCTCTCTCTCTCTCTCTCTCTCTCTCTCTCTCTCCTTGCGGCCGTTCAATGGCTGGATGGGACGGAAGTTGACGGGGGACTGTCTCTTACCCCCACAGTCAGGGTATTTCTCCTTCCAGTGATCAGGTCCTGTGCACGAGAAACACTTCCTATTAACCCAACACATAAACTCCTTCTTAGTAACTACCTGAAGGGGTTCTCTGTGTTAAATCTACTGACGTTATAATGTGCTCGTCTTGTTTACGTCTTCCACAGCATCCAAAAAAATAACTTTCTTAGTCAAACTTTTTATTAGGGACGTGCTGATTACACACACACACACGCACACACACACACACACACACACACACACACACACACACACACACACACACACACACACACACACACAAAGTTACCACAAGCTGATGGGGCGATTAAGGTCTAGTAAACACACTCACCAGTGCTGGGTCGATCGTAGCTCCAGTCCGCTTGACCTGTGGGAAGAACACTGTTTAGGAGATGAACACTGAGTTAGGTCAGTAGAAAAACACTGAGAAAGTAAAAGAAATGAACAAGAGAACACCAGAGTAGGAGAACAACACAGGTTAAGTCTAAGAATACGAGTAGAACACCAGTAGAAGAAGACTAACACATCAGAACACCAAATATAACACCTACAACAAGTTAAGCAGGAGAATGAACATCCACAATACCTTAATATAATGTTTACATACGAGTTCAGTATTTACCTTGACACAAATAGCTGTCAAAACGCAGATACAAATTACTACTGAGATTATACCGAGGCAAAGAGATATTTAACAGATTAATTAAGGGGAAATTATATGGATTCATCTTCAAATACTTAAGAGTTATATAATCTAAATATTAGTGGTGATGGAGAGAATTTATGATCAAATTAGAAAATATTAAGACTTAAATTATGAGACTAAACACGATGGCTAGGTTAGGTTAATGTTATACATGTGTTTAGTGGTTATTAAATAAACAGTAAAAGGTAGTTTATTATAGTAGGTTATGATTATTATTATTATTATTATTATTATTACGCTGTTTTGGTGGTGTTTTAAAGAGTGTGATGGAGCTAGTTTAGTTTTAGAGAATGCCAATGTTATGGTGTTTAACTGTGGACAAAGCCAATGTGTTTTGAGAGACTGACTGTGTACTGGTGGCTTCGTGGCTTGTCAAGAGTGTGAATAAGCCAGTATCATGTTTAGTGGCGTGTAAAGGGTGTGATGGAGCCGGTAGGTGAGGGGACGAAAGTTAAAAGGAAGCTGAGAAGGAGAGTTGAAAAGAACGAAGGAAAAATGGAAGGAAATGTGGAATGAAAGAGGGAAGGTTGGAAGAAACGAAGGAAGGTTGGATGGAACGAAGGGAGGTTGGCAGGGAAAAAGGAAAGTTGAAAGGAAAGTTGGAAGGAAGGAAGGTTGGAAGGAAAGTTGGAATGAAGGAAAGAAGGGAGGAATGAATGAAGGAAGGAAGGGAGGAAAAACGGAAGGAAAGAAGGAAGGAGGGAATGAAGGAAGGAAGGTCGTCTTACCAGCTACGACAGCCACCACTACCACTAGCAGTAGAAGGGAAGACACTAGTTGTTGGAGCATGTTGACGACCTGTTATATCACCTCCCACCACCTCCCTACCACCACACGACCACCACCCTACCACCACACGATCACCACCCTACCACCACACGACCACCACCCTACCACCACACGACCACCACCCTACCACCACACGACCACCACCCTACCACGCTTACCATCACACGACCACCACCCTACCACCACCACCCTACCACCACGACCACCACCACCACACGACCACCACCCTACCACCACACGATCACCACCCTACCACCACACGACCACCACCCTACCACCACACGACCACCACCCTACCACCACACGACCACCACCCTACCACCACACGACCACCAGTGTGGGCGGCGTGGGTGGATGGTGTAGGTGGGTTGTCGTAGGTTGGTGTGTAGATGACTAGGTGAAGTACAGCAGGTGGGTGGGTGGTGTACTAGGTGTAGGTGTGTGGTGTACAATAGGTGGGTAGTGTATATGGGTGGAAGGTGCTCGTGAATGATGTAGGTGTGTGGGAAACCTGGCAGGTGTAGGTGGGGGGTAGGGGGTGTTGGTGGTTAAAACATTCTCACCTATTCACTTATGAGAAAATTAAATAAGTACATTTTATTTCATTGATGCCAGACGATTTTTTTCAGCACAGAGAGGATCCAGTACAGAAGGGATTGGTAGACGCTTAACATAATATCAGATCCTTAGTTAGCGACAAGTCAGACAACATCTGGTATTGTCTCAGTATACTGTAATTCTCCGTATTCGACATTTTTTTCAGCCAACTATGACATTTGACATTATGAGAGAGTGTGCAGGTGCGACACGTGCGACCTTGAGTTATTATCTCATTGTTTCACTGATATAAGTATAGTTAATAAATTTATTGTTTTCTATGATGTTCTTTAATGTTCTTTGTTTACTGCGAGTGTAGCTAGAGAGGATTTCTTCGGGCTCCTGTAGTGCTTGAAATATAAAACCACTATATTTATGACAACCTTCCTATGGGGACGAGTTTATAGTTTAATCAAATAAGCCTAAATCCTAAGGCATTGTAAGCAAATGCATTAATACATGGAGTGAAGCAAAGAAAATCTCACAAACGCAGAAGGAATAACTACAATAGTATAAGATAATTTGTTATTCGTAGCCATATCTAACTCCTATAAAACACTAATCAAATAACAATAACACAAATCAAAATAGAAAGAAAACTACAACCAAACCATAACAGATTATAGAAATAATTATGTAACAAACACCAAAAGAGAAAAAGTGTCAAATACAAAAATATATAAAAGTTTCCCCTAAAAGAAAACGATGATTCCTTTTTCTTTGACCTTTTACACAGGTAGATGGCGAGCGTGTTTGACGTCTCCAAATAAATTAGGTCAGTCACACTTCCTACTTATATACCTCGGCAGCTTAACTGTCTGAGTAAACGCCTGTCACTCGTTCGGTCCCACGTGCGCTAGCTACTCTCTCTCTCTGACTCGTCTTATTCCTATTGTTTACCTGTTTTTAATGAGTTCTGAACTTTAAGTAGTTTAATAAACACTCATCATCGTATGTTTGTTGACATAAATAATTGATGTAGAGTTTTGGAAAGTACAAGAAGTTGATTCTATTGTTAGAGAAGAGTGGAGCCGCCATGGTGGACTGTCAAAACACCAGTCTGCCTCTGGTGTTACAGGAGCCACGGATGGAAATACTTTGTGTGCGGTGATACTTCGCTTGTGTCATAATGAAGAGTGAAGATTGTACTTATTATGGAAGGTGAGTAAGATTCATAGATCCAAGGGTTATTAATGAGGGGTTGGTGGTGAAGACAATTCCCCAAACCTGTTGAGTGCTGACGGTAGTTAATGGAACCCCCTAGTGACCATTACTGTACAGAGAACGCAGGGGACTGGTTAAAATAAAACCTGTATATTATTGTCGTCTTAGTTTTATCACTGATGCTCTCAGCATCATGAGTTAGAGCTACAGTATATATGTTTGTTTTGATAATTAAAAGGCTTCAGGAATGTAATTATTTACCTGGGTGATCGTCTTGATTCATGTTATTTATTTCACCTTATGTTTCAGGGACTGTTTAAACACACACGCTGTACTGTGATGGAGGCAGCTTTAACAGCAGCTGGTTGATGACAGCAGCAAGATAACAGGGCCTTGTGCAACATCACAAACTTGGGTACGTGATATAAACTACAGTACATTGTATTTTGTGTGAGAATAACAGCAATTTAGTGATGGAATAATAACAAATAGAATTGGACAAAGTTGAGGGTAGGAGGGCCGGGGAAGGCGGAGACTGGAATGGATGAATGTAATTAAAAATTGGGTCCCCAGAGAGATACAGAACCTTAGAGGATTGGTAAAAACAGCCTGAGAATATTCAGAGTGAAGGACTGTGGTCGCCAACCCTCACATATGAGGACTGTACTCTGCGTGATGACGTCACTTTTACACCATAACCAGAATAACCAAATTTATATAACTATTTGGGTAATTTTTAACAAGTGGACAACCATGGATTTTTTGGTGGGCAATGTGTTTTTCCGATGGTTTACACAATGTTAAGACTCCCCGCCCACTTGTACGATGTCCTCCGTAAACTTCCTGACCTCTCGTATGTCTATGGGAAAGGGTCGCGGAAAGGGGACGTGATTGCTGCCCGTATCATCATTGGGTATGACTTTGCTTGGGAGATTGGTATCCTCGCATCCCCTGAGCAACGCTCTTGTGCATTATGCAGAACACCCGACAGCAGCACCCTTATCCACTACCTCCTAAGATGTCCCCACACACAACGCTTCCGTGACGCCTGCTGGACCACCACTCCACGACCCCCTGACGGAGACACGATGATCCTCCCCATACTGGCCAGATATTATGTAAATAACATTGATTAAGTGTTAAAGGAATATCCTTCCTTCCTTAGGCTTTAGAAAGCCCCTTTATAATATTTATACTGTATATACTTGTCACACTTGCCAGATCTTTCTGGTGTTATTGTACAAGGGTACCTAGTGACAGCACCCTAGTGACAGCACTAGGATCCCGCTTCCTCTATCAAGGAATAAACAATTGAAATTGAAATTGAATTGAACATTCTCCATTTCCTACAGCGCCTCGATCCTCCGCTCACATTCTGCCAGGTGTCCATCATTGCGGCCTCGTCCACGTCCCAGTTCACCGGCAACACTGAAGTAGAAATAAAAGTTATATTTACTGTCCACTCCTCGACACCTCATAACTTGGGTGTGGAGTGTAGACGAACAAATGTGTGATGGTTGATTCCTATATTATATCCAGATACTGAAGTAATTTTATAACCACGGAGAAACAAAATACATATACAGCAACAAAAGAACCGTGATATTTATTGGTGGTTGTGGTGGCAGGCGAGTGTGTGTCAGGGTTTATGTAGCCTCCACTCTGGCCTCGAGCGTCCCAACACACCGAACCATCTGCAGTTCGAAGTCTTTGGTCGAACATACGCTGCTGTGATGACTTGATGATTTGTTAGTGAACCACAATGATGATGAAGATGAACCTCACTGATTATGTTGTGTTGACTGACAAGGACGTATTATTATTAATCTATTTTTATCTAAGTTTTATTTTGTTATTTTATGCAAATAGATGTACTGTACTGTAATGATTTTGGTGTTTATGAAGTAAAGAACGTTAACGAGGGAAGCAATACTTATGGACAAACACCGCGAACTCGAGCAATACCGCGAACTCGAACAATACCGCGAACTCGAACAATACCATAACTTGCAAAATGAGCAGAAAAATCTAGCTGCACAGTGGGAGAGGCTGAAAACATTAGCACTGAAGGAATACAGCATCAGGATAGTGAGTAAAACACCAGAGGGCGGACCTGATGAAGAAGAAGACGGGGTGGAAAGGATGAATAAAATGTGTTCCTCCTGTAAAGATTGTGCATGTATGTTGTTATCAGATACTCCAAAGGTACAACTTGTTGACAGATGCTTACTACATCATAGGCCTTGGGTACAAGTTCCTAGTCACCCACGTAGCCTGTGAGAGGAGTTTTTTTTTCAACCCTGAAGTACTGTACATCAAAAGTCGACTCAGGAGCACTCTCTCCCAGGAGCACCCAAAAGGCGTTTATGCTGAGGGCAACTGAGAAGGACACCTTAAGATACAGATGTGATGATAGACAGAGTTGCAGAGAGGAGTGAGCTGCTGAGAAAATTGCTGACACATTAAGGGAAGACATATTTTTCTCTTTGGTAGTATAAGGCTTTCTAATTTCCATTTAATGACATAGTGTATGCCTGTGTCAATTTCTGGTGTCTCTATTTTCTGGTTTACTGTGTTGTCTGCAGTATTGCTGTTTACTATATTGACAGAGTGTGTGTGTGTGTGTGTGTGTTTTGTAGTAACAACGTCTTATACTGCAACAATATGTGTGTGTTCTGTCGTAGTTCCACTGGCACCATGTGCTAAGCAGATGTACACAGTCTATAGTATACTTGCATGTCCAATACAAGGGTGGATTTATGGGGAGGGGGGGGGGGGAATCCCCGAAATGAAAAAAACTATCCCTTCCTGCCTCTGGGCTTTTAGAGCTTGTGATCCCCACCCCCTCCCAACATAAATGTTGGTACGGCCTTGGCTTAATAAGCTAATTGGATGAAGTACTTAATACTAACCTTAGGATATGTCCAAATACTCCTCTCCTATGGCCTCAAATTGTGTCTGAACCCCCCAGCTGAACAGGCTCGCTTTGTTCGCCAGATGAGAGAGCCTGTCTGGGTGAAAATCCAGGGCTACTTTCAGTCCCAGTCCATCCTTGTTATGAACACAACTTAATTCACCTGCTGATTGTTTGTTTAAGAAACATATAAGTTAAATGATGCTACAAACAACATCAGAAGTACTTTTTCAGGCGATTTCTTTTTTTATCGAGGTGGGAAGGTAATCTTTGAGTACTGTACCTCAAGGAGTTACGACTCTGCCTTGCCAGCTAAGAGTGTGCTTGGAGGTCCCGTATGTAATGCC